AAATATGACAAAAAAGTGAATTTGATACAAAAACCAACTGATGTCACATTTCATAAAAAGGCTAAACTTTGCAGGGGCAAAAATTGCATGAAAATGCAAAAGCTATTGTGATTGCCTTACACCTACAGTTCAGACATTCACACTAAACAATGCATCCAACACAAGAATGCATGTTAAAACTGTATTTAAAGCAACTCCTCCCTTTGGGTCTCCCAAAACACTTTGTCTGTTATTTAGGCCAGGTCTACATTACACACTTTGGTATAACTACGTCGCTAGGGGTGTGAAAAATCCACACCCCTGAGCGACATAGTTATATCTACCTTAACGTCCTCTGTAGACAGCACTACACTGGCAGAAGAGCTTATCCCGCTGACATAGCTACCGCCTCTTACAGAGTTGGAGTTATTAAGCCGACGGAAGAGTTTTCTCACATCAGCTTAGAGTATCTTCACCAGAAGCGCTACAGTGGCGCAGCTGTGCAAGTTTGTAATGCAGACCTGCCCTTTGATTGTAAATTGTTGGGGGCAGAGAACATGTAGATACTTGGGTTTTGAAGAGTGAGCACACTGTTCATGCTTAACCAATAACAATCACTTGAATTAACCTCTCAAGGGAATTTTCAAAGTTAAACCATCATAAAAACAATGTTCTCAGCTTACTGAGCCATAATATACTTGTGCATTTGGGAAACAGAGGAACCAAATTGCCAGGCTGTAGTAAAAATTTACAGGCAACAAGAAATGTACACAGAAATGTACAGAATTAATTGCAATTTGTATGCAATTGATATATATATATTCTAGTTGGGAGCGGTGAGGAACCTGTCTTCCACATTGAAAGAATTTGCAGTGTGTGCATGGTGTTGAAAGGCATGAGATTAGAGAATGGCTTTGCGAGAGTCCGTGGAAACTGAACAACTGAAAGAACATATCTTTTTCCGTCAGAAGCTGTTTTAGCAGGACAAAGGGGAACAGTAGGCATCTCTTCATGCATTAAGTTATCTTTGTAGACTAAGAGGTTAAAGCCTGAAAATCTTACCTTAAAGCAGAACCCATTCTAGAAAGACACCTGTGATGGTCTTGATCCTTCTCCTTAATATGTTTTTCAGCATAAAAAGATTACATATTATGCTTTGTTCTGTTTCTTTTGGGATGAATGCAAATTATAATGACGTTCAGTAAACACTTATGTTTTAAAATGAAGTTAAGTTTTCCTTTTTCATTATGAATAAACTTTCTACTTGACCACATACTTTAAAACCAGACCCACCATTACTCATGTGAAAGCTTCTTTGACCTGTGTAGCTTTTACTGTGTAGAGACATGTACCTTATACCAGTAACTAGATGAGATCATGCCACTCACTTCTCCTGTGCCGAAAATTCTCAAGATTTTTTTGTAAAGTAAACTTGACGGCTAAAATAGCCACTGAAATAACTGCAGCAGTTATTAGCTGTGTGGTAACCAAAATCAGGTTTTTGTGAGTTAGAAAAAACTTGTTTAACAGGTGTAATGAGATACACAAATTAAAATACAGATTTTCATTCCTACTGAATATGCCAACTGATCCTAGTTACTCTAGGATGTCTCTTCTGGTTTTAATAAATTACAATACCATAAGACTGCATGAAAAAGCAAGTAGCACTTATTCTACTCATTTTAATTCCTATATGGATTATATATTCCTGGGATATTTTGATTACTATTAAGCCACACAGCTAGAATAAGGGGTAACAATAATCAGGATTTTAATTTCAAATACTAGATGCAAATGAAAGATTTTATGGGTACAGGGCTCAATTCCACTTTATTCTATTCTAACACTTAAACATTTCTAGTCACCCGTAGGGAAGATTAGAGAACGGGGCCAAACATGGTTTATATGGCTGCAATGCTGTGTTCTCAAATTTAGTAAATTGGGCCTGGTCAGTATGTGGACAGAAGTCCTCCAAGTGACACCTGATGCATGAAAGTATTAGTGAGTTGGAGATCCTGCTTTTTTCCCTCTTAGTGGTAGGAGCAATAAGGACAAATGCAAAGCACTCCACTTAGAAAGGAACAATCAGTTGCACACATACAAAATGGGAAATGACTGTCTAGGAAGGAGTACTATGGAAAGGGATCTGGGGGTCACAGTGGACCACAAGCTAAATATGAGTCAACAGTGTAACACTGTTGCAAAAAAAGCAAACATCATTCTGGAATGTATTAGCAGTGGTGTTGTATGCAAGACACAAGAAGTAATTCTTCCGCTCTACTCCGCACTGATTAGGCCTCAACTGGAGTATTGTGTCTAGTTCTGGAAACTACATTTCAGGAAAGATGTGGACAAATTATAGAGAGTCCAGAGAAGAGCAACACAAATGATTAAAGGTCTAGAAAACTTTACATGTGAGGGAAGCAGGGCAGCAGGTATAATAGACTTGGGGGAGGGGGTCTTGGGGCTCTGGCTGGCTCAGGGCTGCTGTGGCCGCAAGCGGAGGGTCTCAGGGCACCAGATGCAGGGGGAGGGGCTCGGGGCTCCGGCCAGCTCAGGGCTCCTGGCTGCTGAGGGTTGAGAAGGGGTGGGGGTTCTAGGGTTCCAGCTGTGTGTGTGTGTGGGGGGGGGGGGCCCAGCTGGCTTGGGGCTCCTCTGGCTGTGGGTGGTGGTGTCTTGGGGTTCTGGCCATAGGGAAAAAGGGGATGGGTGGAAGGAGCAGAAACGGGGCTAGCCTCCCTGAAGGGGGGCTCCACCTGCCAGTCATGGAGGGAAGATTGAAAAAATTGATTTGTTTAGTCTGGAAAAGGGAAGACTGAGCGGTGACATAACAGTTTTCAAGTACATAAATGGTTGTTGCAAGGAGAGGGGGAAAAATTGTTGTTCTTAACTGCTGAGGATAGGACAAGAAGCAATAGGCTCAAACTGCAGCAAGGGAGGTTTAGGTTAGACATTAGGAAAAAAATCCTGTCAGGGTGGTTAAACACTGGAATAAATTGCCTAGGGAGGTTGTGGAATCTCCATCATTGGAGATTTTTAAGTGCAGGTTAGACAAACACCTGTCAGAGATGGTCTAGATAATACTTAGTCCTCCCACAAGTGCAGGGGACTGGACTAAATGACCTCTCGAGGTCCCTTCCAGTCTTATGATTCTAGGATGTGCTAAGAGATATATAAACCCAACATTGTTGCTTGTGAAAAATCCTCTAGCACTTTGAAGTGAGGTGGGTGCTTTAATTTGAGGCTGCTGCCTAATTCTAAATTGAGTACTGGTGTTCTGAGTTTTCCCTTGCAGCATCCATTAAACACAATAGTCTTCTTTGCACATCCTAACTTATTGTCACGCTCCTGTTACTCCTCCGAGGCAGCTGCGATTCAACGGTTGAACAGATTTCGGTGTAGTTAGTATGTCAGTCTGGGATCCCTGATTAGGACGGAAGTGGTCTGTAAGGTAACAGTAGGTGGGGTTCTCAAACTGGGGGTCGGGGTCACCAGGTTATTACATGGGGGTTATGAGCTGTCAGCCTCCACCCCAAACCCCGCTTTGCCGCCCGCATTTATAACAATACATTAAGAAGTGTTAATTGATAAGGGGGGGGGTCGCACTCAGAGGCTTGTTCTGGGAAAGGGGTCACTGGTCCAAAACTCTGAGAGCCGCTGCCGTAGGGGCGGAGCGGCGGCGGGCACCACCCACAGCGCTGCTTCTTACCGCCCGGAGCCGGGGGACTAACCAATAGCCCAACCCCCCACTGCCCGGGGCGGAGGCGCCGGCAGCAGCCCAGCCCAGCCCCTTTTTAGCGCTCATGATTTTTGAGCCAGTCTCTCGTGGCGGCGGACGCGGGGCCCTGGAAAAGGCCGGGGGCGCTCGCGCTCTCACGGCAGAGGGCGGCCCCGGCGCTGTGGGGCCCCTCATTCCCCCCCCCCGCCAACCCGCCTCCTGGGAGCCCCCAGGAACCCCACGTTCCTCTTCGGCTACAGAGTCAGCGAAACACACAGCCCGGCCCTTCGCCCCTTTCAGGCTGACGCGTTGGCTTTCCAACTGCGCATGCGCGCGCGCACCCCTTCCCTCCTTGAGCATCAACCCTCGCGATGCTTCCAGTTGGGGCTTTGACTCTCAGCTCTTCCTTCAATCTCCGGGATAGGGCGGAACCTGGTGCCACCACGCCCAATCACCGCCCCTTCCCCACCCCGGGGTCCACCCCCTTTCCGCCGCCCTTCTCGCTAATACACAGTGTTACGCGCCCGCTTTCGCTAGTTTTTGTCGGGGCCAAATTTCCCATCGAGGTAGACGGCAGGGGAAACTGAGTCCGGGGCGTGTTAGGTTGAATCCTCGGTGGGCCGCTTGTATGCCCCGGAGGATAGTCTGGGTTCTTCCCCGCGCGCGACACTAATCGCCCGCCCGCTCACCTTCTTCATTGGACCGAAGGAGATTCACAGTTAGTCAGCCAGGGCTCCTGCAAGCAGGCGGGCTGAGGGAGACCAACTCCGGCCGGTAACTTCCATCCAGCCCGCCCGCGTCCCGAGACTTCGCCTCACGTTCGCCGGCGCCGGAGTGGCTGGGACGCTGCCAGGGGTCCCCGGGCATGGGGAGCCGGGTCGCCTGCGGGGAGAATGTGGCGGCTGCCTCCGTCTCCCGCATGTGCTGCCGTTGAGCTGGGAGCCCGGAGCCCCGAGCAGGAGCCAGCCGCCTGGTGAGCAGCTAGGGGGAAGCGGGAACCCCCTGCACCTCCCTTACACAGGCCTCCTCCCCTGCCACGGATCCCGCTTCCCTGAGCCCCAGACCTCCCCGGCGCCTCCGCATGGCCCTCCCCGAGCGACCCTGGCCCCTCGTCCCGGACACCCTCCTGGCCCCTCGTCAGTGACCCTGGCCCCCACGCACGGACGTCTCCGGCCTTTCATCACGGGCCGCCGCCACCCGTGACTGGCCCATAATCACTGGCACCTTACTTCTCCCGACTGACCTCAGGCCCCTATTCATTAACCCCCCCCCCCTCACACGGGACCGATCCTTTCCTGAACCCCCCTCCCAGACTCACCTATCCCTGATCACTGACCCCCCAATTCCTGGACCCTTCCAGTCCACTTCTCTTTGAACCTCCCCCAGGAAGCCCTTTGCCCCCAATTCACCCCACTTCTCCAAGCCTTGCCCTTCAAATCCACCCCAGACTGGCCCAGCCAGTCCCCCATGCTTTTCCTTTAGCCTGACTCCGCTCACCACTTCCTCTAATCCTGACTTCCTTCCCTTCCCCCCTCCCTCCCTAAATACCAAATATTCTTTAAACCCATGTTACCCCCAAATTTGACCTTATCTCTTCCAAAACCGGGACCCTGTCTCTAACAGCCCCAACCCCAAGAACATATGCACCAAGCCACTCAACTGGTTCTCCTTCCAAAAATCAATAACCACCACTCAGAATCTCCCTGAAAATCAACCCTCCCTCCCCCCCGTTGAGTTTGATGTAGTGATGAGATTCCCCCATCTCCTGGATTATCCTCCTGGGTGACTGAAGAAACTTTTGCTGCTATTGCTTCGTCATTTTACTTTTTTTGCACAAAGATTTTTCTGAATGTTATGTGATATGAAAGGAAATTTTGGATGTTTGTTTCCACCCTTTGGGAGCTGCAGAAGCAAAGGGGAAATGCACCAGAGGAACTGAGCTACATCTAATTGAGGAAATCTGTTATTTGCCAGATTACTGATTTCATTGGACTGCTAAAAAGAACAACATAAGCGTGGCACAAAGTTTACATCCAAATTCAGGGAGGAATGAAGGGGGTTGAAAAAGAAGCTTACAACAAAATCTAAACTTGAAGTTTCCATTGCTTTCCTTTTGACCTGGAAGGGATCACTTCATCTCCCCCGCCTCCCAAGTAATAAGCTATTTTTGTGGAATTCATAACTGGAGAATTAAAGTAGTAGAATGACCTCTCCTGTGGATCCCAAGATTAAACAGGCTTTGCGAAAAAAACCATCAGAAAGGACTCAAGAGGTAATGCATTTTTAATTTGCTTTTCACTTGTTTCTTTGCTTGAGTTTTCTTCTATGTTACCAGACAGATCAGCAGTTCAGTGGTATATTTTTTTCATTTGTGAAAATTGCAGTGCTGACACTCGTGGACTGACGCTTTTTTTTATGAGCAGGAAATATTCCTCCCATTGTGAGTACCCCTTTTTTTTTTAAATAGGGCCTTTCAAACTCAGCAGCATGTAATGCATTTAAGAGACACAAGGCACTTGTGAAATCATGATTTTCAAAATGGATAGCGGAATAATTCATTGGGATAGATAGAGCTTGGGGCAGATGTGCATCATTTAAAAATTATACCTATTTCAGTCTTGCAAAACTGTCATGACAAATTACCAGTCCAGACATAATCTACTCACCAACACCATAATGCAGATTTAAAAAAAATTTTTTTATATGCCTATTGAAAAGAGACACTTCCCCAGGGAATGGGAGAGTAGAAATTTGCAGGACTGTCTATTTACATTAAAACAGTGAGTTCCAATAAAATGATTAGCTTCTAATCAACCATATTTTGGGGATCAACAGACTGTAGAAGAGCAGCATTATGGGATGTTAATTTCCACCATGGAATGTATTTTTGACACTTTTTGCTTATTAGTGAGAGGTTTGGTTTGTTTGCTTACATTTGCCTTTTTGCCTTACTGCAATTTCCATGTGATCAGGAGTTGAAGAGCAGTATGAAAAGATTCACTCCAGTTCCATGTTTGAATCCTTCTGAGATGGGGAAACATCTGTTCTCCCTTGATACTTCATGGAAAGTGAAATGTCCTGCTTGATCTCTGTGAGCTAATTATCAAAAGGCTACATAAAGAGTACTGCTACAGAGATCATTTTAGAAATGTGTTGAGCTGGGACAGTGATTAAAAAACAGGATTAATGCATTTTAAGCAATTTGTGCATCCTTCCAATTTTTATATTTACCTTCCATTGAGAGATTTATTCTTCTCTTACTGCCCCCCCCCCACTCCACTTCCTGGTGCTGGAATTAATGATGAGGCACTGTCTGTAAGGGATAGGATGTTGTTATGGGTTTTGGGTTTTTTTTTGTTAGTTTGGTAGGTCGGTCACTTTTTTTTCTTGCTCTAACCCTTTGTTGTTCTGCCTTCTTCCATTCATGATTTGTAGCATTAGATGACACCCATGGATCTGTACTGGCACAATACTGTTCAGTATATTCATATATGATCTGGAAAATGGGTGAACAGTGAGGTGGCAGAGTTTGCAGATTATACAAAATTACTCAAGATAGTTAAGTCCAAAGCAGACTGTGAAGAGTTGCAAAGGGATCTCACAAAACGGGGTGACTGAGCAACAAAATGGCATATGAAATTCAATGTTGATAAATGCAAAATAATACATACTGGGAAACATAATCCCAACTATATCTACAAAATGATGGGGATAACTCTCCATGTGGTCGCTCAAGAAAGAGATCTTGGAGACTTTGTAGAGAGTTCTCTGAAAACATCTGCTTGATGTGCTCAATGTGCAATGGCAATCAAAAAAGCTAACCATGTTAGGAACCATTATGAAGGGATAGATAATAAGGCTACGTCTTCACTACGGGGGGGGGGTGGTGTCGATTTAAGATACGCAAATTCAGCTACGCAAATAGCGTAGCTGAATTCGACGTATCGCAGCCGACTTACCCCGCGGTAAGGAGGGTGGCAAAATCGACCTCCGCGGCTTCCTGTCGACGGTGCTTACTCCCACCTCCGCTGGTGGAGTAAGAGCGTCGGTTCGGGGATCGATTGTCGCGTCCCGACGAGACGCGATAATTCGATCCCCGAGAGGTCGATTTCTACCCGCCGATTCAGGCGGGTAGTGTAGACCTAGCCTTAGACAGTAAATATCATAATGCCACTATCTAAATCCATGATACACTTACACCTTGAATACTGTGTGCAGTTCTGGTCACCCCATCTTAAAAAAGACATTATCATTGGAAAAGGTACAGAGAAGGGCAACAAAAATGATTAAGGATATGGAACAGCTTCCATATAAGGAGAAATTAAAAAGACTGAGACTGTTCAGATTGGAAAAGAGACAGCTAAAGGAGGATATGATGGAGGTCTATAAGATTATTAATTGTGTGAAGAAAATGAATAAGGAAGTATTATTTACCCTTCTCATTTAACACAAGAACCAGGGGTCATACAATGAAATTAATAGGCTGCAAGTTTAAAACAAACAACAGGAAGTGCACACTATCAACCTGTGGAACTCGTTTCCAGGGGATATTGTGAAGGCCAAAACTATAACTGGGTTAAAAAAAGAATTTGATAAGGTCACAGAATATAGGTCCATACCTGGTTATTGGCCAGGTTATTTGTCTGGATGCTGGGACTAGTCAACAGGGGATGGATCACTTGATAATCACCCTGTTCTTTTCATTCCCTTTGAAGCATTTGGCATTGCCCACTGTCGGAAGACAGGGTACTGGGCTAGATTGACCATTGTTCTGACCCAGTATGACCAATCTTATGTTTTAGACCTAGTTCTAGTATCCAGGGGCAGGCATCTACATTGAATGGTCCTGTTTACAATCAATGCTGTGTTGCTTCATGGGTTTGTTTTTGGGAGCATATAATGCTTCAGACTTTTGCTGCAAGGTGTAAATTCTATTTTTCTTGCAGTACGAGGTAAAATATTTGAAATATTCTTTTATATTCAGCCCAAGATTATTATTTTTTTTTGGTACCACTGATTATTACAGAACTCCCTAAAAACATAAATTTAAACTAATCCGATAAACATGACATTAATCTTGTTGAATTAAAAATCATATTCTGCAAGTATGCCAAGGCCCTGATCCTGCTTTTGGGCTGGCCTCTGTGGATCCAGATTGATTACAGTAGAGCTATGTGCAGGTGAAGGGTTTGGTGGTGTGATTTAAAAAGTAAAAGAAACAAATACCCAACTAGTTAATTTGTCACTGACTTTGATCTTGTAAAGATTTATACACTTGTTTCATAATGGGACTACTCATTCTTAAAGTGTGCTTAAATCTTTGCAAGACTGGGGTCTATGTTCTTTATATTTTTCATGTCTCTCAGCATGGACAATGAAAATCAATGAAATCTATTTCACTTTCTTAGTGGGATAGTGCTGGCATTTTGAACAGGACACATATTTTTTAAATAACAGATTTCATAGAATTTTTTAAAATTGTTGAAGCACTTCTGTTAGGCGTGGTTTTATAAGAACTTGTTTTTCAAAAAAAAAAATTGCTGCCAAATTTAAACTTGATAGTGTTATTAATCAATATTTTAAAAAAAAACAAAGTTACAGTGTAACTTTTTCTCTCTGAGGCCCAGAATTTGAAATTAAATACATTGTCTGCCTGCCCACATTGCAAGATCGAAGCCTCATTTGTTAGCACATAATCTCCTGTGTCATAAGTGGTATTACTGATACAGAAAAGTCTCTTTGGAAAACTCATATCTAACAGACAACTAATCTGCTTGTTAATTTTCATGCATGAGTGGCTCTACTATCCAAATTAAGATAGTTATTAGCAATTTTGCCAGAAAGTTACTGTTCTTATATTTTGTAAATAGAAATAGAAAAACATTTTTACTGTTTTTAGTAAAGTGTATATAACTTACTCTACTTCAAGAACCTATTGTTGTTATGATGATGTCGCATAGTAGAGACACATTGTGTTCAACTCATGATCAAGGTTTTCATTCCTGATAGTGCAGATTCTTGTGACGGTAAATCTATGTGCTGGAACAAGATTTCATTCTTGTGGTAACATTCCAATTCTTGTTAATTGTCTAATATACGTAACTTGTGTACTAACATGTAGACACTTGATTCCTGTTTGAGTAGGTACTTTATGCATTCATATTTTTAATTTCTTTGTGAAAAACATTATAACCTGCTTTTGAGATATCAAATTAGTAATTATTTTGATGATCTGCTGGAGATACTTTGTATTGGTATTCTTTTCTCTCCTCTCTCTCTCATGCTTGTATTGCCAATCTAAAGATAGTATGTTGGACCCCTTATCCCATATTCATGGCGATATTTGCATGTATGAAGCAAAGCAGGCTGCTGCTTTGTCTGTCTTGTGGAAAATCTTTTAAAACGTCTATTCCTAAATTTACTTTACTAAACATGAGATACTACTTGGAACCTTGTTTTATCCTCTGTTTTGACTAAGATGGGAAAGTCATGTGACCAAGAGTGATCAGTCACTGAGTTGTCACGGAATGATTAAGCACAGAAGCTTATTTGCATTGTGACACACAGTTTATTGTCATGGGGACAGATCCTCAGCTAGTGTGATTCGTTATTGAAACCATCTTGCCCTGATACCTGACAGTTCATTGACGAAGCCTTGTCTGTAATAGACAAACATTTACTTTACAGTATTTTAAATGTATATAAAAATTTTAATATTTTGAAATATGAGTATATAAAAGAACTTGAGGGAAGGATTTGCTGGTCTTCTAATACTCCAGGCATGGTGATCCTACTGATAGCTTGGTGTTAAATAGGGGGAATGTTTATACATGCAGAACCCTTAACTTTTACAACCAGAGGAGATTGTATTTGATGTACTTTCCTGTACTACCTTAGCTCTTCAATTTAATATATCACTGTATATATTTTACATGTGTTACTAATGTATATATTGAACAGTGTGGTTTGAGGATATTTTAAATGAAGGAATTGTCATTTGTTCAAACAAATTGAGGGTGTGTGAGTGTTTACATCAGTGTAAGCAGCATCTTTAAAGGTCTCTTACTTGTTTGAGTCCCTGAATACCTTGTCTGATCCATACTGTGATGTTAGTGTTATGTAGATGGAGAGTTGCTTAATGGCTAAGTCACACTGTAATCTGCTCAAGAGTTGTATTAATAAAGGTATCTGATGAAAGTGTCAGGATATTGGCTTTTCAATACATAAGAAATATTTTTGCATTAATCTGAATCATGTACAGCATACCCAGAT